TTGACCCCAAGATCTGGCCAACTTCCCTATTCAAAATTTGAGCGAAGCACAGCAAATCAATTTCCAATCTTGAATGACGTCAGCGTAATCGCGCAATATCATTACTCCAAGTTTTACCGAGGCACAATAAAACAATCTCTAATTGTACAGGTGGGCAAATTTGGGTGTTATTATAGGCTATCTCAGAAACTATAAGAGATATGAAAAAAGTAGGTGCCATGCCTCGGTCTCTTTTTCCGAGACTAATCCTATCCTGCAAAGAACAAATCTCTATCTTCTTTTGTTTCTAAGTTATAGCCGAAAAGTCAAATTTTAGCGATTTTAAAAAATGCTCATATTTCGTTTATTTTTGAAATTAGAGAAATGGGGTTAATACATTCTACAGGCACTTTTTTGAGTAGAATATACTGCCGTTGAAAAATTTTAAACATAGCTGATAATTTTTGAGATATAACATAAAGTTGTATTTTTTTAAATACAAATTATAGTTCATTATGATGTTATTGAAAAGAGCATATTTTTAGAACTGAACTTGTCCATATTTAATTATTCATTAATTAATATATTTCTTGTATTTTTAATAAACAAACTTTATCTACAAATAATATTTTATTGGTGAACAAAGTCAGGGATAAGATGCTGAGAAATTTAAATTAACTATTCAAAGGTTTTATTCGTTGGTACAAAACCAACTTTATTCTGTCATATTCGTGCAAAACCATATATTATAGCCACTAGGTAGTATTTATTGTCCGAACCCGCCTACTATATCAAAATTTTGAACCATGGCGCTTACTATTTTGGAATTGAAAATTAACGCTTATTTTCTGCAAATACACCATACATGCGACACATCATTGGAAAGCTAAAAGTATGCTCTTTTCAGTAACATCATAATCAAGTATAGTTTGTATTTAAAGAAACACAACTTTGTGTTGTATCTCAAAAATCATCAAGTATGTTTAAAATTTTTCAACGGCAGTATATTCTACTTAAAAAAGTGTCTTAAGAACGTATCAACCCCATTTCTCTAATTTCAAAAATAAACGAAATATGAGCATTTTTTGAAATCACGAAAATTTGACTTTTTGGCTATAACTTAAAAACAAAAGAAGATAGAGGTTTGGTGTTTGCGGGATTGG